GGCCCGCCTCTCGATCAGTCTCGTCCTCTCGTCGTTCCGCTCGTTTTCCAAGTCGTCGAGCAACACCGTCAGTGATCGGAAGTGAACGATGCGTCAGACCGACGACGGAACGCACCGTGTCAGTTAACGGTTCCTGTACGTCTCCTCGATCGCTGTCTCTCGTTCTTTTCTCTCGCTCTTCTCGCCGCGACGCGACGTAAAGCGCGAAGCGTTTCGTTCTCTCTTTCTGGACCAGCGTTTTCTCTTCGCCCTCGCGATCCGATGCGCGCTGCTGGATACGAAGAAGCAGCACGCACGGGGAGAAACGAAGGGTGCGCGAGCGAGCGAGACGGATGCTGCTAGAGCGACAGATATCGAGGAACGAACGAAGAGCGAAAGCGTAAACGAAAAGTGTTCGGACCGACGAAGGACACGCCGTGAGAGAAGTCGAGAGAGAAAGAAAGAAAGAGCGCGTAAAGAACGGTAGAAAGGAGAGTGTGGGCTGTCGGAACAGAATAGTTGGTTCGAAAACAGATTTTTCAGAGTGGTCGAGAAAGAGGAACAGAGGAAGAGAGAGAAAGAGAGCGAGAGAGAGAGAGCAGCCATTTTGATAGGTGGCTGTGCGTTGTACGCTGCTGCCGCTACTGACTGCGCTGCTGTTGCTGGCTGTTGGCGTCGCTGATCATCGGTGTTCGCGTCACAGTGCTCGTTTTTGGTAGTGTCCGTGTTGGTTCCTCGTGGTGGATCGGTCTCGTGTCGGTGTCCGTTGGTGTTGGTGCGACGGAGCGATACGCCTGGACAAAGAGGGCCGAGAACTCGGTGTGCCCGAGTGCCGCCGTGCCCACTGTCCGCGGCCCACGGGGTTGTCTTTCTTTTTTCCTCGTTCTTTTCCCTTTTTCTTTTCTCGTTTTCGGTGAGTAGCGGATATACGAAAGAACGAAAGCGAAGGAGAAGCAGGAGGGAGAAGGAGACTTAGAGAGGGAGACAAAGAGAATAGAAGATCAGTGGAGAAGAGAGGAGAGGAAGCATCGTCGGGTGCGTGTTGTGCGGGAGTGCACCGCTCTCCGGGGGCATGGGGCTCGGGAGGGGGATCCGCCCCCTCTCGTAACCGCCGCCAAGCGCCAAGATTTCCCGCACCGAGTTCATCGAGAAATGGGGGCTGACCCCTGTCCTCAAACCGAGGCAGGACCTACGCCCCCACCGGAATGGTGCGGAGGAACACGGCGACACGAGGTACGGACTACTCAAGCCATCCACGCGTCTCTGATAGTACGAGGTTACTTTTTTGCATGCGGACCCGCGTAACGTTTCAGAGAACACCTCACATCCTTTCTTATAACGTATTATTACACACCGTCGTTACTAAACCATCCGTACCACCGTTTGGTACCTTAGGACGAAACAGTTCGATCTAGCGTAGTGGAGTTAGGGTTTTAATGTTGTACGTCGTTCCTGTTACGTTTATTAAGCTGGCGTAGCCTGTTAGCGATAGCTGGTTAGTCCACGGCTGCTACATTAGTCTACAGTAATCTTGTGTGTAGATGCGAATGCTTAGAACCTAGGTGTTAGACGTTGTTCGACCAACCTGTCTCTCCGCGCTCGCGTGATTCTTTTACGGATCCAAGAATAGCGAGTTGCGAAAGAGTCGTCGCGATCATTCGGATATCGATAATCTCCGTGTCTGAAACGCGTTCTACCGTACGGCTATCGCCTACTGGCTTTATCGCAGCATCGGGACGCTGCGGAGGTGTGCCCGGCACTAAAATACGTTTACGACTTGCCTCGAGTGCCGCAGTGGTATAGCCTGCAGGAAAGAATACCAGCCGGCTATCTCGATCCGCTTCGTAACATTTTTCTCCATGGACATCTATTCCTGTTTACTGTCCGCGTCTCGTTTGCGCACTTACCCATCCTTGCGATAAAAGGGAACGACGAGCAAGGGGGTGAATGAATGGCCGGCCAGCCGGAAAAGGATACGCGTAACGATTTTATACTCGCGATTCCGATTCGTTGCTCGTCGTCTGATTCTGGACGATTAATTGCCCAACAAGATGTCTAAATTCGATCGAGTTTGATCCTAAACGATACGTTACGTAAATTAATTAAACGGTTGTAAAGAAAAATACGACACGATGATCGTGATGCGCTCATGAGCAGACGCGTCAAGATCATCGCGAGAGATATTTCGCACTCGATAAACGATACAACTCTATTGTACCCAGACTTGTATCTGTATCGGCAAGGGTGTAAACCGTTGTAAAAAATCACGCGTGTAGATGCCATGTACGATACGCTGTAGAACTGTCAGAAAAGTGGACCGGTCCGTATGGGAAATGACCCATTTGGCTGTTTCATCCGAAATTCTATGTGCCATGGAATTGCAAACGAAGCATTATTCGGTGAGGGCTGCAAAGAAGTGGAGCTACCCGTGATAGCCTTGGTTTCTTACGGACCCGCATATTCGCTGTCCGGGAAGGTTTCATTCTGTGCAAGTAATTCCTATGGGTTATGCTTTTGATGTCAAAGAACGAGCCAAAAAGGCATTGCTATCAGCGCTACTCTACGCAAACCTTCTGCTCTATGAACAGGTCACGTCAAATTGCTCCCACGAGTTACCTTTATGGATGTTGCGACAGATTTAAACCGCTGAGAGCGAATTACTGACCCATTCATTGGGTTTGTAAGTCCCCGTTCCAAAGTTACGATATGTACACGTCAACACTGATGGGTAGTAGTCTACAGGCTAATGCCACAACCATTTATCTGGTTGTCAAGTGTTTTCGGTAGGATCTAATCTCTTTTGTGGCCTCCTAGGCTCTCCTTAGGTTCTCCCTAGAATCTGTCTGGTCCTCTTTCTAGTCTCTCCGTGAGATCCAATTTACTCTGTGGGCTGTTCCCATGCTCAGAGGGTCCATGACTAGATCACAATAGCCCAGTCGTTAAGTTTCCTCCTGACTCACCCTGTGCTTGCACGCTGGTGTTCGTAAGATCTTCGGTGGTCATTTCACTTGTCAATTACTGCTCTAGGCAATATATCAAGCGCCGTCCCGAGCCTTACAGCATCAGTCTATGCCAGCTCTTGAAGGTTTAAGCAACTAACTCGGCTACTAAATCAATGTAAATCTGGCTTTATGAGTGGTGGCTCATCTGGTCTGTGTCATCGGTAGACTGCGGATGTATGATATATCGGAGACTACAAAATAAGCATAAATCACGTATTCCATAGAGTGTTTATTTATACTTTGCTCAATATATCATAAATGCGTAAACATCCGCAATCAGCCTGACACTTAAGAAGTTACCAGTGCAACACTGAACCTTATGCAGTGTAAGGATAGTTTAATTATTGATGTTCCTTGTTGTTGAAAGAAAAGACACGTGCTCTGGCGATTACGCCAGTAGTCGTGCCACGAATTATCGAGTTTCGTTAAGCACGAGGGGTTCTAAAAATACGCGGACATTCCTGGACTATTCTACCAAAGGTATTCGTTTCTCGCGGAACGCGCATCTTCCTTTGTTTCTCTCTCCGTTTCTCGCGTTCCATCCTCGCTTCTCGACAATGTCATAATATTCCAACGACTCGAATGGAATTCTTGCGATTCTTCACCGCAGCTTCCGCCAACGAAAGCTTTTTAGCGTTTTGAGGTTCCTTTTCGAAGAATTCCCGCGATGCTTATGAATCACGGTGAAACATGACCTAATCCAAGCAGACACCGGTTAAAGGACTGTACTTCTTTTCCGCTTAAATAGCTTTCGCGATCGCTTTTAAATCGCGTAACTATTATTAGAAAGCTCCTATTAAAACTTGCTGGAATTGAAAATTAAGTAACGAGCGAAGAACGAACGCGAAATGCTCGCGTGCGACGCTTAAAGTTCGCGAGATTTCTTTCGAAAGTTTCCCGCTAATCAACGATGAAACGAAGGTGGCGAAAATTATAATCGATGGTGTTAATGAGATTACCGGAATCGATTAAAGTTACGCTGTCCAAGGTTTTATAAGCAGACGGACGAATTAATTCGAAAAGCAATTTCAGCGGCGACAGGAAACGAGTTTGTCTTCGAGTAGCTAGGAATCTCGTTGGCGAATTTATTTGCATTTCGCTAATTTCGCCGGATATTTTTAAGAACGTAAACTTGTCAAAGGTAAGGGGATGATATCAAACGGTTTTTAATCGAGTTCGCGTTATTGCGAAGAGCTTTTCGATGGAATAATTAATGACCCAAGTTTCCTCGTCGTCTCCAATGGCTTCCGTCCAAACGATTGAAGTTCCTTCCGATTGGTTGAACAAATCGAGTCGACTCGTTGCCAAATTTACGAAGTAACCTCACCGTGCTTCCAATCGCGATTTGTTAGCAAGAGATTCTCGAGCGTGCATGCTCTGTTGGAGTCAAGAGTTGCTTGAACTTGCTGAATACTTGATATTTTTTCAAATTTTCAAACAACTTTGTCGAGACAGGTTGTCGAGTCACTTTGAAGAGAACAGTCTTCGAGAGCAATAATTCTTGAGAGCTTTCTGATTTGCGGTGGATCAAAGTTTGCAGAATAACAAGTACCGTTAGTGATTTTATTTGATCTTGAAGTGCCACGTATCAGACATTGCTCTCGAAATAGATACAAAGACAGTGTAGTAGAAATAACAGTACTCGAACGCCATCGATATTTTCCATTTTATGGATTCCGTCCCTCTATAAATTGGGCACTCAGAAATTAAAAAATTTATATTATCTATAAAATCCATTGTGGAGAAATTTTCCAGACAAAATTAGCATCAGCGTATCACGAGATAATATGAGACATTCGAGTTATGTATGCACGATATGTGTACCAAAGAACGAAAAAACACATTTTGAAAAATTTGCTTTATTGTACCATACAACTTTCGTATATTTATTGACCGCCTTTGGTGACTAACTCCTTCAGTTTTGTAGAACCGAGTAGTTAATGACAAGAAAAGACAAGTTCTTAAATGACCATTACTCTATTTCCGCTGTAGCAGTCGAGACGTTAGGATATAACAAGCTAACCGTTCACGGTTAATCCTGTACTGAGCTCCACAGATTGGAGAGTGATGGATCGTTGAGCGAGTACTAGCGAGAAAGTCGTACCTAATGTCCCTCTGTTGGCGACTCTGAGAAGTAGCGTCGTAGAGTGCAACGTAACTTCTATCCATTATTTCTCGGGGATTTATCGAACAAAATGATGCAAGATGGGATTGACGACACGCGAAAAAAGATTATTAAAATATTAAACCGTGTTGATACCTGCTTTTCAGAAACAAACTCTTATCCTCTTATGTCGAATCGGCAGTCATCCGCTTCTCGCTCGGTTCGGCTGTCTCGTATATTGCAAACGACTCGAAGAGATTACTACTTCACCGGCACTAACGTTCTACGAGTATCGTTTCGTAATTCGTCTGCATCGGAGCGACGCGACGCGAGTCTCGCGCGGAAGTCTACTTAGCCAAGCGAGTTCGTCGCCGTAAACGAAGAAACGGGGGAAAAAATGTGGAGTGGTGGGTTTATTCGAAAGGCAAGCGTGCAAAGCGTGGGCTGTGCGTCACGGGAAGTGGTCTCTGTAGTTTCTCTCGCTTGGTCGAGTGACGGGGTTTTTTGCGTTCGCGATCCGTTCGTTTTTCACGTGGCTGACGTCGAGCGCGTAGGCGGCTCGCTGGCTCGCTCGCGTGCTCCTCGAGCACCACATGTGTGCGTGCACGCGGCGACGCTCGTGCAACGTTAGCCAACCGTCTTCGAACCCTCGGGAAACGCTCGCTTGCCTCGCGAGTCCTCCGTTTCCGTTTCCCTGGACCGTGTTAAGCGGTTGAAACGAATTTCACGCTTTGCTTGTGCTCGAGAGGACCTCTTCAACGCGGGAAACTAGCGTATATGTCGATGAACTATTATGAACCGGGACTTTCGCTCTGGTCCGCGAGCTACCGTTCTCGGAAAAGTTTCGAATATTACAGAAATTTGGTAAAAATAGACACTGTCAGTACCGGGAATCTCACTTCTGTGCCAGACTCCTTATCCGTTATAACATCATTATTATTATTGGGCCCTGTGGACCCGATTTTATGCCATAATTCGGACGAACCGAATTTTTTGTAACTCCTGTATTTTGTACATCGGAAGTCGATTAAACAAATAAAGTGTTTCTAGTAATTTTTCAATCCAGAAGTCTTTTTAAAAAGATGGAAATGAGAGGGAACTTTTGGGGACATTAAATTTGAAGAGAT